TCCGATTCAAAAATAATGACTTATTTAAAAGCTGTGAAATAATTTGAGAACTGAATCTACAATTGGAATTCGCACTTGTAAATTTTAAGTTTAAACAGCTGTTTCCCAATCAAAATTTTACCTGTGGTGAGAAATGAATCTTTTACAAACAGCTAAAAATGTGAAAGATATTGAACTGATATCTGAGCATATTACTGAACTCATATATTAAAGAGAAGACATTACAGCAATGTTCATGTAGTGGCTAAAAGCAAGTGTAATTTTTTAACAAGGCAACCTCATGCAGCTCAAGAAACATCGTGAAAGCTAACAAAGCTTGAATCGGAAATATTGACTAATTCGTCATATTTTCTTGACCTAGCATGGTCAGATTTTGTGGTTACATTATTGCCTTAAATTACCTAATCACTTTAGAGTAACCATAGAATCAATCTGACAACTTTTTGTTTGTTTGCATTCTAACTAAAAGTATCACAATTCAAGTTAAAGTATAAAATAAAGCTTATTTGTTAGCATCTCAATTTGATGGTCTCAAAAATTCAAATGTTTAACAGAAACTAATCTCCATTAATTTTCAGATAACGGAAACACATGTTTAAATTGGCTCATCCCTAAATGTTTGCAAAGCAGTTGTAGCATAAGCAGATAAGTGTAAGAGCTGGAAACTAAGTAGAGCAAGGTTCAGCCTATGCAGCCAACTGTTGTCTGAAAACTGAAAAACTCTTTGTACTTTAACTGAATTTGCATTTTAGCTGAAACTGATAAAAGTTAAAGTAAAGCAAAAATAATATTAAACTGGGTTAATTAACATTAAACCTTGCAAGATTATCAACTTTGTTGAAACATTCAAAATTACCCAATGAAAACTTTTGAATTCGGAGCATGATGTCAAAAAAAGCCATTTGTACAAAAATACAAGAACTTTCGTTATCAGAATGCTAAGAATTAAAATTTAAGTTGGAAATATGTGACTAATAATGGTAAGTAACCTTAAGCTAAAGGTGATTTTTTTGTTTCATTTGCATGTGTTATAATGAAACCTCATTATAAAAACCTCATTACTTATGAGGATAACCCAGTTAATATAGATTCTAAGTCAGTCATGCAAATATTATTCTGATTTGATGTTTATTATCTTATAAAAGTTCTAGTTACCATTTTCAGAAGCAGAAACTTTTCTGTGTTGAAATATCCAGTTGCATGTATATTTGCATGATTTCCACTGAAGTCCTTTTGGGGGTAGGGAAATGGTACTGTATACTTCAGATCAATTTTTTTAAATCAGATGTTTTCCATAATTCAATATAAAGTCCAAGATCCAGACTCATCGAGACTGGTGAATCTGGATTTCGGAATTTTTCTAAATTTTGATCAACAGTTTAAATCTTTTCCTTGGTTTCAGCAATTTAATAAATGATCAGTTTAAATCTAGTAAGATGAGATATATAAATTATGAAATTAAAAATATGAAATAGTTGTTTCCGAAATATTGAAGCATTTATGACCTTATGGGAATCAAAATTTACCAAAAATAAAAAAAGAGCTCAGTACTTATTTATTTCTTTTATTAATCATTTTTTTTTTCAATGTAAGTCGTTACAGTTGCTTCATTTTCTTGTGCTACTACTTACTCTCTTCTGAATTTTATAGATAGACATAATTTCTTGTCCAATTACAAAGTTCTATTATTCAAGTCCTCTAATTACCATGTCAAGAATTTGCACTAAATTGTAAAATAAAATGTTTTCATTCTCAGCGGTTTCTATGTCACATTTTTCATTATCAGTAGTGATATTTTCTGCATTTATAGGTATAGTACAGAATTTGCTGTCCGGTAGTTGATTAATGATTAGGGCATTATTGCCATCGAATACTTCTGTTATGTAACCTGCATTTATTACCACTCCATATTTTTTTCACAAGTTCTGTTAATTTTAAAATTTCGCTTTTCGAATGTAATATCTGAAAACGTCAAATTTGCGTCTATAAATGAAGTGAGAATATGCTGTACTCTATTGTTATTGTTTCATAAGATTGAAACTGATGCATCGATAATGATTGGAGGGAAAACTCGCAGCTGGCATGATAGTTAAAATGTCATTTTTATTTTCAACAGGAGCAATTCTTCAGAAATACATTTTTGCTTAATTGGAACAATGCTAGGGATGCTAATGTGAAACTTACGTTTTAGGTAATAGAGGCATAGCAAAGAGACGGAACTTTCTTAGACAGAGTAAGCAGCAAAAAGAGCTGTGCATCCAATTCCAATTGCTTTCGCTCGCACTTTTTCAACTACACAGAGTTATTACCAAAAGTTCAGCGTTGCCAAAGGCCAATCACGGTAGTAAAATAAAAGAGATGTACTTTAGGTACATCTGTCACCCGGAGGCACAAAAACTTTCAGAGCTTGGGTCTTGCATTCCTGGTCGTGGTGGCAAATGTTGCATTCAAAAATAACAAAAGTCATAATTATAAAACGTAGAAAAAAGCTGAAAACTATTTATCTACCAAGACGGGTTGTGATGTATGGTGCGGGGAATTTTGACCACATATTCAACAGTAGAGTATAATCGCACAGGCTTCTAATAGAAGAGTAGGAAGAGATTCTAAGGCTTTCAAAGAAATTATGTGAAGTGATCAAAGTTTGTTCATGCATGGCCTTTACATTCAGATCCTCCTGAATTTAAGAGTTCCTCACAAACCACGGTGAGTTCACAATCGCTCTAAGTATTTTATTTTGTATTATGTCTAGTTTAGCACGCTCAGTCTTGTAGGCTGTCACCCATGCTGGCACTGAGTATAACATAATCGGTCTGATTAAGGAAAGATACAGTGTTCTTTTGATTTTTATCGGTAAGTTAGACTTCCCGCCGATCAAGCTGTAAAGGGCACAGAACGCAGCATTTGCTTTTTCTGCTACGGCTGTAACATGGTATTTAAAGGTGAGCTTGCTATCTAAAATAACTCCTAAATACTTATAGGAGTCAGCCATCGGAATTGCATCGTTTTTAATTTAAATATCCATATTAACAATTACATTCTTCCTGTAGCGTTTGTAAAGCACAACACAGCATTTACTAGAATTTAAATTGATTTTCCAATTCTCGCACCATTTCGTAACGATATTTACTTTGAATTGCAGTTTTTCCATTGAAAGAGGCGGGCTGACAGAATTCGTAAGTACGACCGTGTCGTCGGCATATTTTAGAATCTTGGAATCCAAGGGATTTGGGAGGTCATTTATAAATATATTTAAAAGACAGGGAGCGAGGTCTGCTCCTTGCAGGACACCACTGTAAATTATCTTTTTCATAAAAATTGCATTTCCACACTTTACTTGGAATGTTCTACGGTAAAGATACAAGATCATAAGTTGAATAAAGCTGACCGGGAGCAGGAAATGGCTGAGCTTATGGATAAGTCCTACGTGCCACACTCGATCGAATGCCTTTTCGAAATCGAGGAAGCACGCAGCGACTGCCTTCTTTATTTGAAAGTTACCTGCAATATATTCAACCAGATTTAAAATTTGATGTGTAGTAGAATGACTGCTTCGAAATCCAAATTGCAAACTGTCAATGAGGTCAAGTCTCTCAAGGTGATTGGTAAGTCTGATTTTTATATAATATAGTCTGATTTTTAGAACTCTTTCAAAGACCTTTCCCAAAGCAGGAAGCAGACAAATTGGCCTGTAACTAGTTATTAATTTCGGGTCTTTACCCGGCTTCGGAATTGTAATGATGATGTTGTGCTTCCATTGCTGGGGGAAATATCTAAGTCGTATGCAGGCATTAAAGATTTAGCTGTGCATAATAGTTGCAGTAGTATTTATGAGTTCAGAAATTCTTTGTTTTAATCCTGAACAGTGATTGGGCAAAAGTCTACAGCTATGCAGATGTTGCAGGAAAAGCATAATGTAACGTGGTGCTATAGGGAGCTTTGAAAAGGGGATGTATGCAATTAAAATTAAAAATTTTTAAAGTTTAAAATGTTGTTCTGCATTCCTTCTTCAAGGCTCCATATTTCACCATGTTACACCATGCATTCCCTGCAGTAAATGTAGTGCAAAATATTTTGCCCAGTCATTGCTCAAGATTAAAACAAAGACTTGTACTACATCAATTATTATACTTCACACTTTCGCCACTTTGCTTTCCTGCTGGCAACATGTTGCTTAGCCTCTCCTAGTTAATTTCAGTTAGTTAAAATGTAATTGTGTATCTAAAATTGTGGGTCATGTTTAATCCCCCTAGATATGCACTAAGAAATTCATCATAAAAAATAAATGTTTAAATACCAACCTGTTGTGCTTCTTCCGAAATTCTATCCACTACTCCGCAATTTCCATTCATCTGTGCAGCAGTTTTTCTGACTAAAAAGTGACTGGTTTCAAAGTTCTAGCATTGGACCAAAGAATTATTGCATATATGTATATATGATTTTAGTCTGTGCAAATCTTTGATCATGCTTGTGGCTTGATCTAAACTGCCTTTCATGCTATAAAGTCATTCACACTTTTGATTCAAATTTTTTTCTTTGTTTTTTACTTTAGTTCAGCAAAGTGCATCATCATTTTATTATATATAAACGCAGAAACAAAATCAGTTGTTCAGGAACATATCTCGTAATTTTATGTTTAGAAACACTGTTCAAAATGATTATTTAAACATCTTTTCATTAGAAATGTATACATTATAAGTTAAATCATTATTCAGTGTATAAAGTTGACTTCATGATATTTCCCATGAAAAGTAACACAAACAGTGATGGAACAAACTGTAAAGGAGTGTTAAAAAGTGCAATAATGTGACTGTGGAAGAATGTTACAAAACATTTCTATGCTTAAAATTTTATCAGGTAATATACATTTTCTGTATAAACGTGACTACAAATTTTGTGTAGTATAACAGTTATATATTATTTTTGTATAAGGCCGTACTTTAATATGTTTTGTGAGTTTTTGCTCAATAACTTTTATTATAACTTTTATTTTTTGCTAGGCAAAGCTGGAAAGAAACTTGATGAAGCAAAGGAACGATATGTAAAAATTACAAACAAACTTCACCGTCTGCACAATGATTATGTTATTTTGGTACACGAAGGAAAAGAATATGAAAAGCATTTACGTACAACCCTTTTACCATCCCTTCTAGAGTATCACCAAAATGTTCTCCAAGAAACTGTAGATAGATGGTTAGTTTAGTTTATGTAAAATTTTTATCAACGTATCATTACTGTATAATATTTGTAAGTGAAATGTTTAATTTGAGAAACAAATTTGAATTAAAAGTTATTCAAACATGTTTTATGCATTATTCTTAAAATAGTACTTGTTTGGTAGATAGAGCTTGGAAAATGGCTTTTGTTGAAGATATTATTTTTATTTAATTTTGTTGCCTAGTTAGTGTTTAACAGGATTTTCTTTCCTTTGTTCTAAAGGAAAAAAAAAATAAATACACAGTTCTAGTGAATAATTGGTTGTATTACAATTGTTTCATTAGTTTTCCAGTGGATTGTGGGTATTTTAAACACAATATTATGTAAAATTTTTCTTGGATTTAAATCTTATTGATGTATTGCATATTTTGTTATCATTAACAAATTTTTATGTTTTTCTTAACTTCATGTGATTCTGTTTTTTAATCTTTTAATTAGATTAATCAGCAATAAAAATAATATGCATCTTGTTTTTTTTTTTTTTTTTTTTTTTTTTTTGTTTTTAAAAATGCAATAGTATCCTGTGTATTTTATACAGCTGTTTAAATTTTAATTTTCAGTCTTGTAAAGTCCTAGTTGGAAAAATAATTTTCATACTTTTATAATTTATGATAAATCAATCCATTACATTAATTCTTAATAAAAAAGATACAAGATAGCCTTTTGTGTCATATTTTATTTTATGTCCCTATGTCTATTTCATGGTATGCTTAATTTGCCTTTTTTTCATTTTGGCATAAGGAAAGAAGACTCATAACTATATTATATGTCCACAGCTGGTGTATTCTACAAGAAACGTTATCAACCCTCGAGTATTTGATAACTTTAAAACAAATACATTGGATTCTACAAATTTGGAAAGAAAGTTACGATTTAAATTTATGAATTCCTATGTTTAAAGTTATGGCAAGATTTGTCCTATTTTACATTGCTTTACTTTCTGTGGCATGACAGCTTCATTGTCAGTATTTCATGAAATTTCCACGTGTTTAAAAGTTATCTGATAATTTTATGCTTTGCTCATGATATTGATTGTATATTAGGTGCTTGCAGTACATTTATGTCAGTTGTATATTGCCGTATATGCTTTTTATTACCATATATTTTACACATATACAAAAGTTGTTTTAAACTTGCTTTTACAGGAAAACTCTAATGTTACAGTTTGCTGCTTACACCGACTTTTCAAATGACACATTTCGTTCTTTGAATATAAAAATAAAAAAGAGTATCGAGTCAGTTGCTGGGGAAGATGAATACAAGGATTTTACTGACAAACACAGGTAAACTTTGCTTCTTATGTTATGTTTTCTCGATAAAGGTTTGCTCATTGTTAATTAATTCTTTTCATTGTATGCTTTCTGTTTAGATCAAATCCACCTCAACCTCTTGATTTTAAATTTGATGAAACTCTTTTATATGACTACAGTGGTTCTTTGAAACCAAATCAGTTGGCTCTAGATGATATGACATTTGATGCTTTAAAAGAAAAGTAAGTTAAGGAATTAATTGCTTTAAAAGAAAAGTAAGATTGGATTCATAAATTACTGAACTCAGAAACTAACTGAACTATATGAAAAAGTTCAATTTTCTGAATTATTGGTGCATTTCTTACATGCATCCTTTTTATCTTATTTCGGTGATGACTGATGCAGGGAGTTAGTTTTGTGGATTTTTTAGAGATTATATGTTTTATGGAATAAAAGCTTTAAAATCTACATGTATTTAATTTTAGGTTGCAAGATTTGAAAGAAAAATTGTTCCAGTGTCAGACATTAGTAAAAGAAAAAGAGCTGGAAATAGGCCAGTGTGAAAATGAAATAAGATCTGTACGAAAAACATCGGAAACAGAAAACATGTAACGTTTAATTTTAATCTTTTTAATTCATTAAATCATTTTGGTGATTTAATTTTCTTATCTCATAATTTCTCTTTAGGCATTCTGTGAAGCGACGTGCCATTGGTATATTGCGTAAAGAACTTGGTGAAATCAAGTGCCAAGAGCAAAGGCACCAGCAGCTGTACAATCTTATATCAAGTTGGGTTAACAATGTTGATCCTAAAGACCTTCCTCCTGGTCTTGAACTGCCTGATGTTTCGTCAAGTGACACAGTAAATTTTGATTTTTTATGTGCATAAACAATGTTTTATAAATGGGTCTAATTACAGCGGACAAACTTTATTTTTAACCATATTCTTTAGAAAGAAGATGATGCCTCTAGTCTGAATGCTTTGGGAAGGAGATCTGCACGAATAATAATGTCAAAGTTGCGGCAGCCATTTCATGCCTTTCATAAAAAAGTAAATGTAAGCTCTCATAATAATATTTACTTCTTAGCCTAAATATTATGTGGTTTTCTCTTCTTGTTAAAGTTGTATGTTTTATTGTGTACATGCTTTGTTAATGCTGAGTAAATTATCTCTAAGTAAGCTTACTGTGTTTGAGAATCTGATATCTGTTCTCTCAGCAGTGGAGCATTCTATGTTTGTGAAGAAATCTTCTAATTGCTCAAATTTTGTTTAAATTCCATTACACTTAGATTAATTAATTTTTTAACCAAAATTTGGCTGTGATATAGTATTTCTTATTCTTAGCAGTCACACAAGTTTTGTTGTAGGAACCTGTATGAATAGCTTATCACTGTTTTATATGTTATGAAGAATCTCTAGAAGTACTGTTCTGAAGATGTTTCTGCTATTTGAACTCCATCTTAGAAGCTCAAGAACTTTCTTTAAAGTCATAACTCCATTAAATTCTATCTTTCATGTTGGTCAGTTCTTCATATATTTTTAGAATTTAGTCATTGGAATTTTAAGCAAGTGTTTGCAGAACTTATTTTACTATTCAAACTGACATGTTAGTTAATCTAGTAAGTTTATTGGGTTCTGTTATAGTTTTCTTTATTGCATTTATTATTATAATCACTCAAAGTAGTACTTTCTGATGCAAGTTCTAAAAGAGATTGTCTAAGAGTAGTGAATTTTCATTAGTGTATCATTTGTCACTTCTACCTTTCAGGATTATCTGCTAAGCCAGTGGCTCACAAACTTTTCTGAGTCATGTTAAACTCATGTTATTATTTAACATTTTTTGTTTTACTTAATTAACATTAAATTAGTAAATAATATTACGGATTAGCCAGCAAATCACTGCACATTTTCTCAAGTCATGGAATTAAACTGGAGATGTCCACCCTAATTTCCGTTTCCATGTTGATTTTTGTTTAAATTGGCTAAGCCAGTGGCACAAACTTGCTGAGTCATGTTTCAGCATTTTTTTGTTTTACCATAAATTAGGGATTAGCAGCAAACCACTCCACATTTTCTCAAGTCATGGAATTAAACTGGAGATGTCCACCCTAATTTCCGTTTATATTGCTATTACAGCCCCACCGAAAACCCAGCCTCCACAAAATCTGATATCAAAAGTGACATTAACATCCACTGATTATTTGTTGATCCATTTATTGAAATCCAAAATTATGTCAATTCCATGTTGCCAAATTTTTCTTTCAAACTGATGAGATTCTTCTTCTGCAGAAGTAAATTCAGATGGAGCACCAGTAAATAGAATCTATAAACCGATTATTTCATTTGGATATTTCTCAAGCCAGATAATTAGCTGTGATAATTGTATTTCAAACATGATTTTTTTATCCTGAAAAAGAGCAACTTCTAGTGACATCAAAAATTTGTGCAGTATTTAAAAAACGGTCTTTGCCTGCATCTTTATTGAATTTTCTTCCTAAGAATTTGATGTTTCCCCCCGCCAAAAAGCTGATATTTTTACCATTTGCCTTGTAGAGAATATTATTTTTACTATATATATAACTTGTGGCAATTCCTAAATTAGACTTATAAGCAACTTATTGCTATATCTAAGATGAAACATAAACTTCAGATTTCTTGAAAAAGACCGTTTAATTTAAAACTAACGAAGTTGGAAGAGAAGTCACACCTGGTACTTGCAGTTCAGCCAGCAATTATGGCAAGAACTCAAAAGGAGAATTTTAAAATTTAAAACTAAAATGTAAGCATCTGTTAGCCAAGTCTACACACATAAATTGAAGTGCTAAAGTTGACTCAGGCTTACACTGGTGTGAAAGTATTATTAGCTATAATAAAGCAGTGCTGTCAACAGAAATTTTTATCTTTGAATGACAACTAGTAATGTCGTCTTCGACAGGCAGAACAAGTTCTGTCTAAACAATCTCAAACCCTCACTTAAGTAGACAAAAGCTAATTTGCATTCTGGCAGGAAAACAGAGAGAGGTGACGGTAAATATTCGGAACGTAAAATAACTGGTTAATTAACATTAATAAACCTTGCAAACTTCAAAAGGTGCATGTCTTTTTCCCTGCAGAGAAAGATTAAGGGAATTCTGTTTTTCAGAATTGTCATATAAATATGCCAGTTTTATTAAACAAACGGCTTCAGCAAAGTCCTCTGCATCTTTGTATCCTTTTTTAAGGAAAATAAAAATTTCTTGCCCCAGTTAATGTAAGTGATAAAACATTACCTCGACACAGCCATCATGCTCTGCTGTAATACAACAAAGTCAAGTGTTTGATTCCCATATCCTTCCACAGTTTTATTTTTTTTTTAAAAAAAAAAAACCTTGTTTTCAATGAACAGAATTTTATAAAATTCACAATATTCATCATACACTCCAACACCTGACTGCAGGACTTATATACTTTGATGCAAATGCTTCACTGTTAATAATTCAATACATCCACATTGCATTTGCTGATTTGCTTCAATTAAATGCATGTAATCTTCCATAACAGCCAGACACGGAGTGAGCTCCATCAGTACAGACACCAACACACTTAGGCCAAATCAAATTATTTTCAGGTATGAATGTATCAAGAATTTTGAACAGGTCCTGAGCCTTTGCTCCTGATATTTTTACAAAACAAGTCTTCTGTAATATTATCATCTATAAACCGGCATAGCATATTGAATAAGCATTCTTATTATTATCCGTAGTCTCATCTAGCTGCAATCCAAAATTCACTCATCACACTTAATTTTTTTCAGTTAATTATCCTTGATATCTTCCACCATCTATTGTATTTTCCAACTGTGTTATTGGACAAAGATACTTTTAAAAGCAGCTTCCCTGCAGACTCATCAACCATGATGTTCACCATAGCTGCAGCAGCCTGTAGAATAAATTCTTTTGCGATGGTGTGAGAGTTCTTATATTCCATGATTCTGTAAACTACATTGTTAAGATGATAGCAAAGATTTGTGTGGTATTCATGCAGTTTTTAAAAATATTTTTTTGTTGTTTCTGTTCTTTTTACTTCCTGGCAGAAAAATCATGAATTTTGCCAACCATGCTGTGGTAATTAGCATCTAAATGACACTTCAGTTTACTTAGAAACATACATTCTGCTGCCAACACTTTCATGCACATAGTGGTCTCTTTTCAAAATTCTTTTCTGTTGACATAAAACCAAACTCTTAAATAACCATCCTCATGTTTACAATATTTTTATTTCTTCTCAGTCCTACCACTGGTTGAAGACACTTTCTTTATCTGTACCATTACATTTATTTCTGTTCAAAAATCAGTCCATCATCAAAGATACAAGAGCAAAAAATCACAAAATTATTTATCAAAGACAACAAACAAATTGTAATATAGTGAACTAATTTATATCAATTTTTATTGATATGAAGCACTGAGTTCAATTTAATTGGATTTAGATTATAAACCATCTGACTGAATCGATTGGATAATGCTTTCCGCAAGGTCTTTAAGAGTGGTCCAAATTTGTCAATAAGGATCCATGCATCTCGATATGGCTATATTACTGATCAATCTAATTTGAGGACACTGAATAAAGTAGAAAGTTTATGCGTCCAATGTAGAATAAAGCTCTACCATTTCAAGATGTCATATTGTAAAAATTACACTCTAAATATGAGTATTGTTAAGAAAAGAGAATGGAATGAAAATGTGTGAAATGATAGATTATGTTGTATCCAGCTTTGTATTCAAAAATTTGCTAATATCATGTCAGTCATTCGACCAGTCGGAAGACATCTCTAATTTTTACAATCATAGCATTCCTGATGTGCCAATAAATAAAGACAGTACACTAAGGAGAAGGGGCTCCCAGACTTGGCTTTCATTAAAAATGCATTGCATGTTTGCATGTTTGTTTATAATGCTCTAACCTATAGATAAGATCCAAGGAAGTATAACCTCTTCCATTCAGCCCAGGGGGACAGATATGCTCAAAGTCCGGGAATAAGAACGCTAGTCAATAACACAATCACCAACAGAGAGAACATAACACAACATGGTCTCTCCCAGTGTTGACCAAGGGGAGCCAAACCCCCAAAGACAACCTTCGATATCTAATCGTGTAACATCTCTGCAACCAAAGGGCAAACAAGACAGTACCAGTAGTCCCTGCCAATAAAAAAAAAAAAGATGGCTCTAGTCACCGTGAAGACTGATTATTTAGCCCAGGAGTCAAGTCTGTCTAGGTACAGGTCCTAACCAGGATACCAGTAGCTGTCTCCCAGATGACCTGGGGGTGGGAAGTAGGTAAAGACAGTTCAGATACTTCTGTCCTGTATGTATTGCCAAAGAAAATAACTTAACAAGATGAGCGTTAGCAGAAAATCAAGTTTTTACCATTGCATTAGATTCACTTGCTTGCAAGAATTCCATTCAACTAGCTACAAATGAGTGGAAGATGATGAGAGAGTTAGTTCTATTTGGTTGCAGAACAAAGCCTTCTATCTCTGTGTAACTTAAGGAAGAATCAGTCTGTAACATATCAGGTTGGTAGTTCTCTGTCAAAGTTGTTTCATTGAAAAAAAAGTGGTCCTTAAGCTTTCATTCCTCGTTGGATACAAATACTGTTGGTTTTTGTAGAATCTCCTTTCATTTGCTCTCCTTTTTATTCCTGACCCAAAAAAATATGGGCATTATGCTTCTACTCTTTGCTTATTAAGCAGAATTATTGCCTCATTGCTAAACATTGAAAACTTTTTAAAAATCATATTTTTCAGTTGATGCAGAAGTTATTATATTACTCATAGTTTGTAGATATTAAAAACTGCAGCAACTGAAGTGAGTGAGATTGCATTTGCTAGAGCCTTCATAACATCATCAGCATCTCTAAATCAGTACTTTCATTTACTGATTCTGCTTTTTCTTCTATTTCAAATGGATGTCCTGAATGTTTTGCTTTGTAGGGTATCCCTATTAACCCCAATCTTTTCTTACAATTGTCTAATACTATTGTGAGATGGGAAAGTCAGTTTAAATATTTTTAATTAGGGTGGATTGAACAAAAATAATTCATTTGCACTTTGTAAAATATAATGCATGAATTGTTTCTTGCTCTGATATCACCAGTTTCCATAGTGCTGTCAGAAAGCAAGTAGAAAGAGAGTAATTGTGCTGGGTGCATTAAAAAAAATTTGCACATGTTCTTTCATAGCATGTGATGCACATGAATTTGCTAGACATATGATATGCCTTATGAAAACCCAGAAGCCATTTTAATACATGTTGTGTGTAGCTTTGTGCAAATTCTAAGGCCTAATTAATATTTTTAAAGACGTTTTGCATTGTAAGTTGTAGATGAAATTAAGTCAAAATTTCCATGCTTTCTGACAGTAAAAAAAAAAAAAAAAAAATTTGGTTAAAAAAATTTTATTGTTCAAGAAGTGATAAAATTTAAATATAAAATTATATGTTATTCTTTGGGATTCTGAAAGTTTATCAGGATCAGATCAAAAAATAGTTAAAACATTGGAAAAGATGATCATAGTGGAATTGAAGAATTAACTGGAAGTTCATACTTCAAAATACATTATTAAGGAATTTTAGCTTTTGTATACAAGGTATCTGGTATAGCTAAGTGTTTGTCTAGGGAAACATTTTATGCCTACAGGAATCAAGAATTAGGAGCAGAGTGCACACAGAACAATCTTAATAGTTGTTCTGAAATGGAAGTAAAAGGCCATTCTGTACTGCCATCACTTCTTAAATAGCTGCGGGAAAATTCCTTAGCAATGTTAATTAACAGATCAGCTCATACATACATTTCGTTGTGTGAATAATTTAACTGATCTATCACCTAAAGTAAATTTGAAAAAAAAAGTTAACATATTATAATAGATGACAAAAATCATTGAAGTTATTGAAAATAAATTGTTATTTTTTGTCTAAACATTTGTCTGAGTTATTTTTTCAGAAAAACAGTAAGTAAAGATATGTAGTTTGAGATTTAGTATGAGGAAAGAGAATATGAGAGACTAATTTTTTCTTTTCGCAAGAAGACCCACTCATTTTTTAATGCTTTAACTTCCTCCTGAACAACTGTAAGTGTTTTGGCAGAATGCCAAACAGGCTTGTTTATGCATTGTCAGACTATAACCATGCAGAGATATGAGTATACTTAACAAAAAAGAAACTCTGCATATTCCTTTTTTGATCGATTATTGAAATTTTAGCAGCTGTATGATGTGGCCATGTTAAGTCAAAAATTACTATATATTGTTACTTTTATGCCTTATTTTCTGTATAATTTGGAGAAACAGCTTGATATATTTTATATCATATATATATAAAGAATTATGTATATAAGAATACATCAGTACATAATGCATATAAGTATATACAACAGTTTCCAGGTTGATATATTTAAAAAGGAAGAACATTTTAATAATGTTTCTTTCAGTATGATCTCTTTTTACCCTAATATACTTTTTATATCATTGAATGAGGAAATCTGTCCACCTGAAAAAATGGTCTGAAGTTGTGTGCTGAAAATGTTCCGTAACTCTTGTTCTTATGCTACCGTCAAGTCGCTTTGTATGAAGGTGAGATTGCAATTTACAGGCCTCATTTCAATGGATAAGTGGTTAAGTCCTGTGAACGTTGGTAGTTCAGTCTAGATGGGTAAAGCTGGCTACATGGGTGCTTTTTGTGGTTTTCGTCATGTATAAATGGAATTTCCTTCCTCCACAAAGCTATTCTTTCTATTAGGCAAATAGTCATTTTGTGTTTTGCTGTATTCAACTAACCAAGCATTCAATTTTGATCACAGATATAATTACTTAGAAGTAAATATGAGCTGTAAGGGAGGTGGTTAAAACCTTGAACCCACATTATGCATATATTGGTGTTTTTGAATTGCTGAAAGTCAGGCTATCCATCTTGCAGAAACTTTGTTCATGTAGAATATATAAAACAGTTATTTAGACAGATGTAATCTACTTATGATTTTGACTGAATCTCCTATTCCTTAGCATTTCCTTCTGGATAATAAGAGCACTGAGTACTGATAATTTGACCAGACATAAGTTATAACCTAGGCAAACAGATTGGCTACATGGCCAGTGTTCATGGTTTTCCTCATGTGTCTCTGCATTACATTATAAATAGTATATAAATATCAAAAATTGAATTTAAGACAAGTATTTCATATAATTTTGCACAGTCAATAGTGGATTCTTCATTAATATAGTCCAGGGCTTTTATGGCTAAACAACAAACCCATGATGTAAATCCAATTCAAATTGCATTTTAAACAAATCTAAACTAGCTAAATGTGAGAAGCAATAATGAACAAAATGTTGCTACGGAAGTAAATCAATTAAAAGCAGAAATTGGAATATAATGAGATAAAAATCGCTAGATTTGAAAACTTCATTATAGAAATTATTCAAATTACAAGTAACAATCATAATAAAATACAAAATTCAAAAATGAATTAAATATGTGTATTGCAAATGGTAAATTGAAAATTATAGTAATAATTTCTGAAGCATTTGTTAATTACAGCAAAGTGGCCAAAAGGTGAAAACCAATTCTAATAATCTAAAAAATTCTAATAATCTAAAATCAGTGTATTTACAAATAAATGTAACTTCTATTAATTTGGAGGAAAAATAGAACAAAAAAATAGTAATAATAGACATCATATATACCAGTGGCAAGCTCTACAGATAAGTAAAATTATACATGCATCCGTAGCAAGCATCTAAGACAAGTTACAGTTATTAAAGAAGCAGAAAGTGAAATAAGTAGTCAAGGTGAAAGAACAGAATTCACCTTATATGCATTCCAATATCTTGAAATAAAATTAGCAAGTAGGATATTTTTAAATTATCCTTGCAAAATCCTATTCTTTAATAATAATGGTAACAGTTTTTGAAAAATCCTTAAATAATTGCATAAATTATTCCACTTCACAATTCCATTTAAGGTTCAAGTTTAAACAATCATACGTATCAGTGATTTAATAATTAATTTTAAGTTGACAAGTGTAATTTGGAAAGCTGTTTTTTAATAAAGCTTACAAGAATTTTAATGTCTTTGAGAATATTAATTGATAATTTTAATTCTTTGATAAGTTCATGAAAATCTGTGCAAATATTTTCATCCTCATTATTTTATTAATAACTGAATATGGAATTTTGTTATTAAACATGTAATGATGTAATAGTTTTAAAATAGAAAAGTTTTTTATTTGTTTATTTTCAAAATTTCGATGTAGTTTTAGTTGTAGATTTAATTATCCGAACAGTCCACCACTTTACTCGTTGTTTCAATTAAGTCAGAATTTTTTCTTTCTTTCCCATTTCATTTTATGTATTGAAAGCAGCAATGCAGCAAGTGTAGATGTATGTTTGAGAAAATTTAAGACAATCAAAATTGTATTTTTTTAATCAAAAGAAATAAATTACATAAGATAGTAGAATAATTAGTCTCCATTGGAATCCTACTTTTTATATTTTATGATGAACCTTAATACAGTTACTGTTAAGTATGCAGTTGAGGTAGGTAGCCCAGTCTTCTAATAACACTTTCATTTCCTGGAAATAATTTACATGTCAATGAGGCTGTTCAGTACTTCTTTACGTGGTAAGATCAAGGTTTAAATGTTATTGTTATGATTGTCATATTTAAACCTTGATTTTTGGTGATTTCTCTAATACTTTTTTTTTTCTGTTCTTTTTTTAATACAGTGGTTATGATTGATTAAACTGGCATTTTTTTTAAGAAATCTACAAATGATCTGCAAAAGAATATGAAATATGTTTTTCTGTTTTGTATTTATTCCTAATAAATTGACTGCAGCTCACTTATTATTACATGGGTTTATTTGAATTTGTTTCATTTTTTAATTATTTTACTGCATATGTATGCATCTTTAATGAAAGTAATATATGTACAATCTACTTTTAGAATACATTTGATGAATCTTTTACTTCACAAGGGATTAATCAAAGTTACTCTCTTACAAATCCTGGCCATGATAATGTAAGTTTTATTCACATTTGCTTACAAAAAATTAATATGTAGCTTGCATTTTATTTACATTTAACATTGAATTTTTAAGCTACTGGTGTATTTTTCATCTGCTGCTAAGAATGTTAATACTGTGTCAGTGGATACTGTTATGTGTTGTGAAACTGAATTCCACTCTGTATTGCAAATGGTCCCAAAAGCTGTCGAACAAGTATCATTCTGATCTTAACAAATTCAAGTAATTAAGGTATGATCTAGTCCAGGGATGGGCAAACTATGGCCCGTGGGCCAACACCAACCCGCGGATAGAATTTTAATTTGTCGGTCTGAGGCAAATTAGAAGAACTACAGGGTGTTTCGTAGATCATGGGACAAACTTGGAGGGGTGGTGGAGCGTACTAAAACATGCATTTTTTATAAGAATGTAGGGTCTAAAGTAACGGGTTAAGGCAGGAACGAAAAAAAAAAAAAAAAAGACACGAAAGGAAAATGTGTTTATGTACAAAATCAACGCAAAGTGCTTCTTTGTAGCAATGCAATATTCACAATAAATGTTCGAAATTGCGACCACCAGCAGTAATACATGCTTGGTAACATCGCAGAAGGGATTGCCGAACATTTTGAAAACAGGCATTTTGCTCACGTTTGCAGCCGCAATGGACAGTCGTGAAACAAGGTTCTCCAGTGAGTCAACAGGAGTCTCGTAAATGATGCTCTTCAGATGGCCCCATTAAAAAAATCCAAGCTGGAAAAATCTGGCGAACAGGATGGCCATCGAACGAATCTACCATGGCCAATCCATTGGCCCGGAAATGTCCCATCCAAGTAATTGTGGACAAGCACATGGTTATGGGCTGGTGCACCATCATGCTGGAACCACATGCAATCACGAACAATAGCTAGAACATCCTGCAGCAATTCCGGTAGCACCTCTTGCAGAAAAATAATGACATAAGCCATTTGTACATGCAGGTAAAAGATAATAGGCCTATGTAATGAAGTAAATGAAGAGAAGCTTAAGAATTATGAAGATGGCTTGAAAAAACTGCATTTGAGTTCAAACGCAGAGTTCAAGATTTCAGAACAAATTTCAAAATGAATTGGATATTTTTACCATGCCTTTCAACGTAAATTGCGAAGCAGTGAAGTCAGATTTGCAGCCTGAATTAATGGAGTTGCAATCTATAAATAATTTTAAGCAGTTGGTTTCTAAATATGACAAATTGAAAGTTTTACAAATCATTATCAAAAGCAAGTTTCCCAAATTTATTATCTCACGCCCAGAAAAATCAGTGCTATATTTGCTTCATCTTATATATGTGAACAAGTGTTTTCAATTATGAACCTTAGAAAGAATTATTTCAGAAGTAGACTGACAGATGAGCATTTAGCCTTGTTCTTTAGAAGCAGTACGTCTCACTTCGAACCTCAGTATAAGGAACTTTCAAAAATGAAATTGCAATTTCATTCATCTCATTAATATATTAAAATTGTAATCCTTTTTTATTGTTTTTCAAATTTCAGAAAAATTTTATCTTGGCCCGCCAAACTTTTTTTTTTTTCGATTTTTGGCCCGCGACTGAAAAGGTTTGCCCATCCCTGATCTAGTCAGTTAAGATAAGTCTGTATGTATTCTTTGGTATAATCTTTTATATAACTAGTGCCAAACATAGTATTTATATTTTATAGCTTCTTTTAGATAGTTAAGGTATTAGAAAGACTTGCTTTCCATCTTACGTGGTAATACTTTTATATCCATATACTGCTGTGAATTAGTCTTACATTAATGGTAAAGAAACCATATTTTATGTGTGATACAGTAAATGTATGTTGAGCTTAAAAGTTTCAGTAAAAAATTCTGTTTGTTATTACCAGGTTTTCTAAATTATCCACACTAATTTATTACTGTGGATGATTTAAAATACTATGAAGTAAATATGATGACCCCTTCTTAATCAGTATTCCATGTCACGTGTTTGGCGTTTTTGTGCCCCTATGGTTGGCATCGAATGTCATGCGATGAAGAAAAAATTGCACTTTTGGAAGTGAATTCATTGCTACTTACCCATCTCATTGTATTTCATGATTATTTTTTGTGTTTCTGAATATTTTTAAGAGTTGGTGCAACTACTTCTACTCCCTTCACATTTTTTCAGTGAAATTTTCTGCTTCGAATGGCAAACAGAATCATTTCGTAGTTTCTGGAAGTTTGCTTTCTTCAGTTATTGTTGCGTGTCTGAATAGATATTATGATGGATTCAGAGCGAGTCCAAGAGCACTGAATAAAATAGTCAAGTTTTTTTTTTTTTTTTTTTTTTTGTCAAAACGAGCAATAAAATAATCTACAATAAATGATTTCAGTGTGTTTTTTACACTCTGATGTTCAAGAAAGCTTAAAGCTGTTTTTACAGTAATGTTGTAAGATCATTTTCATTGTAAAACATACTGTTGCATGCATACGGGTACATAATGAATTAAATGCACAAGTCTGATGAAAAGTGAATAAAATTTATTCTTATCACAACAAATAAAACAAAGTGCTGAAATTTCCTCAGAGATATTCGTACAGTATCGCAATATCTCACAGTAGTTATATTTTAAACTGCTAAAATGTTGAATAGAACTCAATTCAAAACACTGAGAAAGCCAATCAGATTTCACCGTAAATTCGCTACAATCAATAACAGCACTAAGTAAATAACTGATAAACAACTGAATTGAGATGTTTTCCTCCAGCTTTTGTAAACTTTTTAATCATGCACAAGATCATTCCTGTGTTTTCTCGATTTTTCTGGTTAGTAAAAGATTATAATTACGAGATACGTATTAAAATGTGATATGCAAATGCTCCTATATTTTAATTTTTCTGATGTACTTTCTTTTCAAATAAGTCTTGTGCTGCATTGCACAAGAATATGAAACAATTTTAATTACAAATTCTACTAAAAATAGCTAAATAAATACAAAATCCATAACACTGCTCCCTTCCCAAATACTGCACATCCCGGGCAGTACATTTCCTGGACAGGAAGCCAAACTTACAACTAGGACAAAAATGTAATAACAAACAATATAAATGCAATAAATAACTTTAAACAAATCAAATACTAAATACAAATCAAATCAAATACACATTTAGAAACAAAAAGGACCATGGTCTTATACTATCTACAATTATATACCCTACGTACTACGGCCATAGTAAGGAGCTAACCTGACCTAATGAACGACTTTTGGTTTAGAGTTTGATGACTTACGGATTCAAACCACGATGTCATACAGTCTGTTTAGGACTGTGTAAGGACCATTCCAAAGTGACTTTAATTTAGGATTGAGTTCTTTCCGTCGAATCGGGTTCCACAACCACACCTTGTCTCCTTCGTTGAATTGATGTCCAGACGCTCTCATGTCTTATCGGGTTTGGTCTTCACCTTTTGTGTCGCAAAGTTGGCTCGCTCTTCCATCACTTCAAACCAGGCCTGGAGATCTTGGATGTATTCTTCAGGCGATGAAGGTGCATCTGGGGGGGTTACCAAACAGATGAAGATCACGACCAAAGAGCATCTGAGTTGGAGAATGGCTGGTAGTCTTGCGTTCCTCTTTGACCCTAGTATGGTTTCGGCAGCTTTTGGACAAAGTGTTGGCGTTTCCAGGTGAGGATCCCTTCTGATGATGGATAGTTATGTCCTGTGATTCTGAAAGCAGTCTGTTGCTTTTGAAGTCCAAGGGAAAATTGTATCCTTAAATTCCTTAAAAAGTCCAATCCGAATATGCAAGGATCTGTAATCTCTGCCACATATGCCATGTAACGGAAGGCAGCATTTCTAAACATGATGTTCACGTTAAACTTCTCATCTATGTCGATTTTATCACCAGACACATTCTGGAGGGCAACACAGGATTGCATCCAAATGAGTTTATTTTTAAACTATTGAGCTAAATCTTTCCGAATGATTGTAACATTAACTCCTGTGTCAATGATCATATTGCAAGGAACTCCATCGATATGCCCATTGATGGATAGTCCATTACTGTTGCCACTCACTGCAGGAATCTTGAGTGCTTTAAACTTTCGTTCAAACTCCGCTCTGTGATGTTTTCATTAATTTGTTTCCTGCGTCGTTGCTAGGAAATGATCTTATTTTCCATATCCTGGGGCGTTCTGCAGTTCCTTTGTACGTGGTTTTCAGCTCCACAATTCCAGCACTTTGGTTTCTGTCACTCCTTTTCTATGCCATGGCATTTAATTCTCTGTTTAAATCGTTTGCCTTATTTTCTGTGCTCTGGGGTGTTCTGCAGTTCCTTTGTAGGTGGCCTTCAACACCGTAGTTCCAGCACTTTAGAATGGTTTCTTTTCACTCCTTTTCCATCTCGAGGCACTGACTGGTCTTGTCAAATCATCCTTTTATTTTCCATGCCCTGGGGTGTTCACAGTGCCGTCGTATGTAGCCTTCAGTACCATATTTCCAACTCTTTACAGCCAGCTTCTTCTCATACTTTTCCATATCAAAGCATTGTCTGGATAAATCATCTAAACAAGCCATCAATTGATCCACTGGCTGAGGGCTTCGCACAGCTCTGATTGGGTAGCGATCTCTACGAGTTGCTTGCTGGGCTGCCTGGAATTTCATGGTGTACACCAGAGCACTTTTTTAAGTTTTTTCACATCTGCCATTTGCGGTGCTTTCTGCATTTCAGTATCCCGGATGCCGTTGATGAAATATTGCAGTGACAGGATTCCCCTTGTTTCTGTTGGGCAATCCAAGAAGGCGAGGTGGGACAGCCTTTCAACATCCAAGGCAAGCTCCTGGAGTGTTTCGGTGGGCTTCTATTGACAGGATTGTTATTGAAGCCTGCTGTAATCTTTCAACACCTTAAGGACCAGCGCAGGGAGAACGACGTGCAGTCATGGGACTGGACCTGCTGAAATGGATCGTTGCCACTGGCCTGCGCATTTTCAGAAGTTAAGCCTAATTTTACAAAAAAAAATGTATAAAATTACATATTTAATG